CGATTTTGGAGATCAGCAACGTTGGGCCGGCGTTATCGACATCCACGGCTCGTTTCCTGCCGTTTACCCCCGAAAAATCATAATTGAGGAAGTTTGTTCGTCAGCGGTAACAATATAATTTTATAATATATTTTCTTAATAACCATAACCTAATCATCTATTCGTCATTCATATAATTATATTAAATTTCGTAGCTTTAACTTGAACATTCTTTAAACTTAATTTCATAACTAGCTTGTTTTCATATTTAGTAATCTCCATTATTTCTAATATTTTCTAAAATCATCAAACGGATCTAATCTCTCTGATCGATTCACATATCATGACATGCTTTCACCTGAAATCCCAATTAACGAAATTTTGATCGTACAGTATTATCAGTTATGTAACATGGTATTCTGTATCAAAAATAAAGTTCTCGACTGGCAACTATCTTAATATTTGTCAAGTTTACGTAAACTTCAGACCATTGTCTTAATTTGGTCGAATTTTACACCCGAAGTAGTCATTTAGCTGGCTACGGCTCAGATTCCTATTCAGCAATTTCGTGTATTGCTGTGTAGACATGCACAAATTTAATCTTTTGATATAAGGTAAATAACAAGATTTGGGTATATATAAAAAGTCAAGTTTCACTTACTGTATCTCTGAAAATAAGCTACTCCATTTTTGGACGTCATTTATGTGTAGGGATGTGTCGGTTCGGTTTATATTCGGTTCGAAACCAGTTTTTGAGACTGGTTTCAAACTGATCAAACCGCATAAACTGATCCAAACTGTATAAACTGAATAAACTGGTTCAAACCGAGATCATCTCGGTTTTATGCAGTATTTAGTTAGTGATAGTGATATATTCTTTGATATAAAAAATGATCAATTTAATTATTTTGATTATATAAAAATAATTTTTTGATAAATTTAGACTAATGAATATTTATTTGTACTATAATCTCTAAATTTGACGGTTTTATTGATCAAATAAATTTAAAAATGCTAATTATTCTTATTTTTATTTGTTTCGTAATGGACGAAGATTTTGAGTTTGTTAGTTTCGAAAGACAAGAAAGTATTGAACCAGATAAATCAATAAGTCAAATCTCTGCAACTATTATCGAATCTGATATAAGTATTCTTAATGCAAATAGTTCAACTGTCTGGCTGCATTTTGTAAAAACATCTATGGAAAAACAATGCACAATAAGTCACCAGCTATATAAACCTACTTCAGGTGTTTCAACACTTGAAGTCATTTTAGAAAACATCAACTTGAAGCACCAATGAAAAAAAAACAAAGCAATTTCAACAACAAAACAATTTAATCTCTTTAATTTATCTGAACAAATCGAACATAATAAATTTTTAATTACATGGATAATTTGTGATCTTTAACCATTTATGGTTGTTGAGAACATATATTTTCGCGCAATGTTATCTTATTTTTGTCCTCATTATAAAATTCCCAATAGGTATAAAGTTAAAGATATGACAATTGAGATATTTAATACTCATCGTGCTAAGATAGTATTGATTTAGCAAGTATTCCAGAAAAAATAGCATTAACTGCTGATATGTGAACTTCAACAATTAACAGAGAAGCATTTCTAGAAATTACAATACATTACATAGATTTTTCATGGAAGCTTTGCAATTTTCTTTCAGATATTATACCTTTAAAATTAGTCATACAGTGTCAATATAGCTAATACAATTATAAATACATTACAAAACATAATTTATTAGAAAAAACCTTAGCAATAACAACTAATAATGCATCAGTAATGATTGTATATGGACGAGAAATTGCAAAACAGATTGAAAATAATTTATCACAGTTGACATTTGCTTACTACCATTGTGCAGCTCATATTATAAATATTAGTATTCAACAAGGCTTAGAATTAACAATGAATCAGTCAAAAAAATTAGAAGTATAATGGAAAATATTAAAAATTCAGTTAAAAAATCTGATAGTTTATGTTAATATTATATTACTCATGGAGTTATTTATCTCAAGCCAATTTTGGATGTGAAAACGTGATGAAATTCAATTTATTATATGTTGCAATGATTTATTACTTTAGAATCAGTTTATTTCTTCTTGCTAAAAATATAAATCAATTCAAGAAATTTATTCAAATGAAAATAAACTAAAAGTAATTAAGGTAAGTATAATAAATATATTTTATTAAAAATATATTATTTAATTAATTTATTAATAAATATTTTTATTTAGGATATGAT